TCATGCAATAAACTGAATTTAAGGTGATAACGCATGCGCTCGAATGGCCAAGCTTAACGGTGCAGTGGTTTCCCGATGTGCAACGGTATGCATTTTGAGCCAGTTAATTTCTGGTACATTGACTGCCGCTCAGGTTGCTGCGCAGCCTCCGTTCAGTCAGCTAAATTTGGCCGAAGTATGGCCGGGAAAAGGCACATTTGAGTCCCAGTATGTTTCAGGTGCTAACTTGGGTACCTGAAAAGCTAGAAGACTGTAATTTTAAGAGGATGTTTCGCGTCCAAGAAGGTCTTAATGAGCTCCAACTCAGTGCCCAGGTATGCGTGGTTCCCACGTACAGGCCCTGTTCTGGTCACTTTTGATGACGCATGAAGCTGTAGGTTGCCAAAAGCGAGGGTTGAAGTATTGAATGCTTGAAGTAAGCACGGGTTAATGGAAGCAGTTGCGCAGCAGTCGTCCTGCGTGTGAGTTTTTTCCGGGATTGTTTCGGTGGTTTTACGTTCTGTTGGTGCTTCAGGCGAGTTCATTTTAGGCTGGAACAGTCCGATTTCGTAACCCATCGTGTGCTTCTTGGAACTCACACAGTGGATGAGCAGAATCATCTTATGATTGCGAAGGTGCAGCTTCCAAAAGGCGAAACGGAATTCGATCCCTCCAAATACGATAGCGAAAGAGAAGGTAATTATGCAGTAGCACGTGCATGATTTGTGTTCTTGTCGGCAGCTAATTCGAGCAGAAACCGTGAGCTTTTGGCTGCCGCAAATCTGTTTTGAAACGTCAAACGATAGTGTGTTTCAAAGAGATTATTATTGTTATCAGTAGTACATTTCCTTTGAAATATTTTCTCCTCGTATATCCGTTTTGTCTTAAGAAAAAAAACCTGTCTTTTTTTTTGACGTTTTCTGTGTTTGGCTATTCTTTATTGACTTGAAAGGCTCTACCCTGACAGTCAGAGCGAAACGATTGAAACGAACATCAGAATCGCCAGCAAACAAGCTACGGCACTGATCAGAATAACTGGAACTCGGCTGGCGAACCATTCTATGAATTGCAACTGAGCAGAGTGTATACACGTCTTAGGATTTCCAGTCTCAATTGCTAAAAATTACGGTCTCGAAGCAGCAGCTAAGCATTTATCCTTACAAGCTACTCATGCAGGAAGGGGAGTGGGAGGAGAAGCTGTTATAATATTAATGTATTTTCAAAATGTCGATCCCCCTTAGCCGTTTTTTTTTTCTCAAATCCGACCTCTAATTTGGCATTCTTTTTCTTGGTTTGATGAAATTTCATAACTTCTCTATCATAGTGCTTGTGGTAACCATAATGCTCTTCGTTCCGGAAACTATGGATAATTTTCATGGTTTTTATGTCACCCGCACAGTTTCTAACATTCCTTTTTCCTTCTTTCGCCCTGTTTCTTTCATTTCTGTCCTTTAGATCGATTATTAAAATATTTTGTTGCGATAATCTCCGTTGAGTTATAGAATATGGCGGGTTTGGTTCGGGTATGGGAAAAATTGATGTTGAAATCAAAATGAATCATGATGGCGAGGTGAATCGAGCACGCTGCATGCCACAGAATCCAATTGTCTTGGCAACAAAACCGCCAAGCGCTGATGTAAGACTTTTTTTGCCTGTGTTTCCATGTAAAGCCAGTCATGAGTAGATGGATGGGTCGTTAGTATGAGCAGCTGTTTTGAGCTTTTCGGTGATGAATTTTCTGAAGGAGTGAATTGCTCTTTGCAGGTCTTTATCTTCGATTACAC